ATATATATATATAAATATATTTGAAATACAATGGCGTTTCAGTTTCTGCATACTCTCTGTAGTTTCCTGCGGAAATTTCTCTCCCTTATTGTTGGTGCTGTGATGGCCTTCTGCACACTTCTCTTCGTTATTGGCGCTGGTCGTGTTATTACACTTGAGCGTAATATTTCCCGATCCGGCTTTGCCCACTTGTTGGCTATTCTCACTTCCATCATTACCGTCATTCTCTACATTGCCCTTCACTTTATCCCCCGCAAGGCGTACAGACTACTTTACTTTATCTCCGTGATGTTGGTGATTACAATGTTGTTTGTATCCCACTCCCTTGGACTCGCCGCGCCTCTGGTGGATGACTGCAATGCGTTGGGTCTCATTAACTACTCGGATATTGTGGATAAGTGGAAGGATATGGGGAGTGTAGGCGTTATCTTTAATAATCATACCAACAAGACAGAGACGATTGGGAAATTGGGGGAAAATGTGCGGTATTGTACAGAGGAGGAACTCACATTTGCCAGTGCGGTCCTGCTGCTTATTTTGTATGTATTTGCCCTCTTTGATGTACAGAAGGTCTTGTTAACTCGAGTGAAGTCAAAGACATACGGTGAACGGTTTGTGGAGATGGGTATAAGCAACTAGAGAGAGAGAGTGTGTGTGTGTGTGTGTTTGGGGGGTAATAAATAGTTTAGTTTCTATCCTTATATATATATATATATATATATATAGGGAGAGGCTAGTGGAGGTGAAAAGTTACAGAAAAAAAAAAGGGAAAACAAACAAAAAAAAGGAAAAGAGAAAAAAAAAATAAGAAACAACGGCAATAATTTATTTGAAAAATAAGGAATAAGATGAATTCTTATTTTAACAGATTTGTAACCTTTTTTTTTTCTTAAAATTGCCTCAGCGGTTTGATGTGTGTTTTCTCTCTGCTTTTTTTTTTTTTTTACGTCTATATATATATATATATCATATTTCCTTTTGTTTCTAATAAAGGAGGTTTAAATACTCTCTCTCTCTCAAGAGATCAAATGGAGTTTTAGCAGGACAAGACAAAATGCAGAGAAGAAATATATATATATATATATATATATAT